TTGTGTGTGAGAGCTGTGCCCTCTGACGCACGGCCGGTCAGGCTTCAGGGGCTAGCGTTTCTGCCGCAGCCCTGAGCGCACTGTCATCTGTGGCACTGCCAAAACCCGGGAGCCAGTGCATGTGTTGCCAGATATTGTTTGCTAGGTAGCAGATTGGGAATAAACATTGATGAGACTGAGAGAGAGGAGAGTGCAGTAGGGATTTCCATGGGCTATTTTGTTTCCTTTTCATATCTCAGGGGAAGGTGAGGAATGGAGTAGAGATGCTTTCCTAGGAAAAGAAAAGTTAACGCTCTACAAGAACTTTTGACTCTTGCATCAGTCCTTACCTACCCTTCTCTATAATATGTCAGCATATAATGCTTTTTTTATTATAACTTCTCTTGTTGTTGTAGCCACTCTAGTGAATGTCTACTGCCATGCCAGCACCAGTCACCTGTTTTTAGCATCGAGTAAACTTGTCACTGTTGCGCTAGAGCTAGGACTTACAATGCTGGGATTAAAAATGGATTTAAAAGGTTAACTCAGGAAGCCTGGAAATCCAGAATCTATTTCTCTGAGGCAGCGTGCTCTGTTTCAGATGATAGGCCATTGCAATTTTTTTATGATCAAAACTCACAATGAATAATGATAACTACTGCTCATGAGGATCTGCTGTCCACCAGGAATCGGGCTGGGTGCTTCCCCTCAGTCCTCCGTTTAATCTTTGCAGCAGCCCTGCAGTTGGTGTCACTACCCCAGTTTATAGATGCTTCTTCCTGTCTCAACTTAAAGTGACACCATTGCTCTTCTGTGGTATTTAATTGGGTTAGAAGGAAATTTACCCCTGGATCTTGTGTGAAAGCAGAGCTGCAGGGAAATCTCCAGGTTTGTTTAATCATTGAACAAATATTATTTGAGTACCTACTATGTGCTGGACAGTATAAGTGCCTATAAGTAAGTGATTGGTCTATAAATACAATATGTAAGTGTGTCTATTTAATCCTTCAACCTTGCATAGTAGGTATTGTTATTCCTGGCTTCTAGCAGAGAAATCTGAGGCTTGGGGAGAATTAAGAACATGTCTTGCTACGAACAAATTCACATTTGGGTCCTTTCAAATGCAGAGTGGGTTTGCCTTCCACTATAGACCATGCTGCTTCTGGCAGGGGTGGACTGATCCTGTAATCTGACTCTCTTGGGGTATGGACATGGGGCACTGTGCCCCAGCACATACCTATTCCTCTCCTGCCCGCTGTCCTTTGCCCTCCCTTGAGAAGAATCACAGACTTGGAGCCTGGCTGGTTCGCAGTGGGCGGTCCAAGCTAACTGGTGTCACTGCAGAGGCTAACGTCTGGCGGGTAGTGTGGGCAGAGGTAGCTGCCATACTTTGGGTGGATGAAGCGCCTGGGAAGGCATTGGTTTTCCTGACAGCTAGATCTTCATGCCACACGGAGGATTTGTCCCCCAGGAATATCCCAGAGGGGCCTTCAGAGCTCACACGGACACTTTCTCGTAGTCATGATCTAAGTTTAAGTACATGTTTTAATTAATACATTCTCTATTGTAGGCTTTGGACGTGGACCGGATGGTTCTTTACAAAATGAAGAAATCCGTGAAAGCAATAAATATCTCTGGGCTGGGTGAGTATGCATTCTTTCTTACAGGTATTTTTGTGGAAAACGATTGCATTTGCAGTTCTGATGCCATAATATTGACCACCATCAATGAATAATCAATTAAACTCCTCTTTCTGGGCATGCATATTACAGACTCTGAGCTGGGTGTTTACTTTTAGGAGTGTGTTTTGTTTTGTTAATTGTCTAAATTTGGAGTTGGGTTTCATCTCCACCCCCACACTAACCCTTGTTGCATTTCCTGTTCTCTGAAGTGCCACACAGTTTCCCACACAAACTTTGTCAAATTTGTTCAAAAGACACCAGATTCACTCCTGCCTCTGCTCTTTGGTTTGAGCTGTTAATCATGTCAGAATGACCTTTCCATTTCTCTCTTACCTAATGCTTGCCTTTCTTGTTTGGGAAGAAAATGAATAAATATTAAAGTTTACTCAACTACTCAAAGTAATATTTGATCTAGATTTAATAAACATGTTTTAAAAAAAGCCACTGCAACCTTTGACTTAAAGATTTCAGGCTGTATATGTGTGGCAGGTCTGTTCCCACACAAAACCTTACAAGTGATAGAAAATAGTTTTTAAAGTCATTAAGTGACTATATTAAGTGACTGTGTCACTCAGAAACAAGAAAGTGGCAGCCTTGGGGGACTAGAAGTTGTGAAGAATCCCACGGAGCCTGGAGCTGATTTGTGGGGAGCATGCAGCTGCTGAGCATGGCAGAAACACTGTGAATGCCTGAGGGTGGTGGCCTGGGACAGGGTGTCCTGGTCTACTTCTACAGAAGCCTGCCACTCGGTACCCTAACTCGTCCCTTCACCCTCGGGGTACCTTCCTTCAATGAAAGTAGCGAATGGAGCAGAATGCCGTAGGTGGTTGAGATGTCAGGAGGGATGGAGAATAGCCTGGAAATACATGTCCCACTGACTCCTTCCTCCACCCAGTTAAAGTATTGTGAATGCCAGTCTGGGTGCTGTTTTTGCATCTCCCCCAGGGAAGGCTGCAAGCCAAGATTGAGAAGAGGGTAGTAGGAAATCTCAGTTACAAAGATAATTACAACGAAGAATTGCAACATGTATTTAGGAACAGATTTTACAAAAGATATGCAAGAACTCTACATTGAAAACCACAAAACACAGCGGACAGAAATTGAACATAGTGTGCAGTGCTTGGAAGCAGAGGGAAGCAGGCCAGGGAGCTGCAGTAGCTCACTGGGACAGAAGCAGGAGGCTGTCAGGAGAGGAGGCTGCCGCTGTAACGGGCCAGATCGTGAAGAGGTTTTAAAGCTGTGCTGCAGAGCGGAGACTTTGCTCTGAGGACATCAGCAAGCATCACCAGCGACCCGGCTCGAAGTGGCCCTGGAACTGTGTGTTTCTCTCCTCTCTGTGCGGGATGTTTTCTCCCTCCTCACCTCCTAGAATGTAGAAAGGGCTTAGTAGTACTGGCTGACCTATAATGTTTCCATAGTCGAACCAGGCTGGTGCTGGTGCTGGTGCATTCCGCTGTGTGGGAAGCTTTGAGGAGGAGGAACAGCTTTTATTATTTGAATGCAGGTCAGATACTGTTCTGGCAGTTCTGAAGACTGTGCAGGACCAGATTTGTTCCAGTGCTAGACTAGATGTTGAGTAGGCCAAATGTGTTTGTCAGCAACAGCCTTTACCTGGGACAGGGCCGCCTAGAGCCTTGACTCATGCCTCGCACTGGTGGCTTTGTGTGTGAGAGCTGTGCCCTCTGACGCACGGCCGGTCAGGCTTCAGGGGCTAGCGTTTCTGCCGCAGCCCTGAGCGCACTGTCATCTGTGGCACTGCCAAAACCCGGGAGCCAGTGCATGTGTTGCCAGATATTGTTTGCTAGGTAGCAGATTGGGAATAAACATTGATGAGACTGAGAGAGAGGAGAGTGCAGTAGGGATTTCCATGGGCTATTTTGTTTCCTTTTCATATCTCAGGGGAAGGTGAGGAATGGAGTAGAGATGCTTTCCTAGGAAAAGAAAAGTTAACGCTCTACAAGAACTTTTGACTCTTGCATCAGTCCTTACCTACCCTTCTCTATAATATGTCAGCATATAATGCTTTTTTTATTATAACTTCTCTTGTTGTTGTAGCCACTCTAGTGAATGTCTACTGCCATGCCAGCACCAGTCACCTGTTTTTAGCATCGAGTAAACTTGTCACTGTTGCGCTAGAGCTAGGACTTACAATGCTGGGATTAAAAATGGATTTAAAAGGTTAACTCAGGAAGCCTGGAAATCCAGAATCTATTTCTCTGAGGCAGCGTGCTCTGTTTCAGATGATAGGCCATTGCAATTTTTTTATGATCAAAACTCACAATGAATAATGATAACTACTGCTCATGAGGATCTGCTGTCCACCAGGAATCGGGCTGGGTGCTTCCCCTCAGTCCTCCGTTTAATCTTTGCAGCAGCCCTGCAGTTGGTGTCACTACCCCAGTTTATAGATGCTTCTTCCTGTCTCAACTTAAAGTGACACCATTGCTCTTCTGTGGTATTTAATTGGGTTAGAAGGAAATTTACCCCTGGATCTTGTGTGAAAGCAGAGCTGCAGGGAAATCTCCAGGTTTGTTTAATCATTGAACAAATATTATTTGAGTACCTACTATGTGCTGGACAGTATAAGTGCCTATAAGTAAGTGATTGGTCTATAAATATAATATTTAAGTGTGTCTATTTAATCCTTCAACCTTGCATAGTAGGTATTGTTATTCCTGGCTTCTAGCAGAGAAATCTGAGGCTTGGGGAGAATTAAGAACATGTCTTGCTACGAACAAATTCACATTTGGGTCCTTTCAAATGCAGAGTGGGTTTGCCTTCCACTATAGACCATGCTGCTTCTGGCAGGGGTGGACTGATCCTGTAATCTGACTCTCTTGGGGTATGGACATGGGGCACTGTGCCCCAGCACATACCTATTCCTCTCCTGCCCGCTGTCCTTTGCCCTCCCTTGAGAAGAATCACAGACTTGGAGCCTGGCTGGTTTGCAGTGGGCGGTCCAAGCTAACTGGTGTCATTGCAGAGGCTAACGTCTGGCGGGTAGTGTGGACAGAGGTAGCTGCCATACTTTGGGTGGATGAAGCGCCTGGGAAGGCATTGGTTTTCCTGACAGCTAGATCTTCATGCCACACGGAGGATTTGTCCCCCAGGAATATCCCAGAGGGGCCTTCAGAGCTCACACGGACACTTTCTCGTAGTCATGATCTAAGTTTAAGTACATGTTTTAATTAATACATTCTCTATTGTAGGCTTTGGACGTGGACCGGATGGTTCTTTACAAAATGAAGAAATCCGTGAAAGCAATAAATATCTCTGGGCTGGGTGAGTATGCATTCTTTCTTACAGGTATTTTTGTGGAAAACGATTGCATTTGCAGTTCTGATGCCATAATATTGACCACCATCAATGAATAATCAATTAAACTCCTCTTTCTGGGCATGCATATTACAGACTCTGAGCTGGGTGTTTACTTTTAGGAGTGTGTTTTGTTTTGTTAATTGTCTAAATTTGGAGTTGGGTTTCATCTCCACCCCCACACTAACCCTTGTTGCATTTCCTGTTCTCTGAAGTGCCACACAGTTTCCCACACAAACTTTGTCAAATTTGTTCAAAAGACACCAGATTCACTCCTGCCTCTGCTCTTTGGTTTGAGCTGTTAATCATGTCAGAATGACCTTTCCATTTCTCTCTTACCTAATGCTTGCCTTTCTTGTTTGGGAAGAAAATGAATAAATATTAAAGTTTACTCAACTACTCAAAGTAATATTTGATCTAGATTTAATAAACATGTTTTAAAAAAAGCCACTGCAACCTTTGACTTAAAGATTTCAGGCTGTATATGTGTGGCAGGTCTGTTCCCACACAAAACCTTACAAGTGATAGAAAATAGTTTTTAAAGTCATTAAGTGACTATATTAAGTGACTGTGTCACTCAGAAACAAGAAAGTGGCAGCCTTGGGGGACTAGAAGTTGTGAAGAATCCCACGGAGCCTGGAGCTGATTTGTGGGGAGCATGCAGCTGCTGAGCATGGCAGAAACACTGTGAATGCCTGAGGGTGGTGGCCTGGGACAGGGTGTCCTGGTCTACTTCTACAGAAGCCTGCCACTCGGTACCCTAACTCGTCCCTTCACCCTCGGGGTACCTTCCTTCAATGAAAGTAGCGAATGGAGCAGAATGCCGTAGGTGGTTGAGATGTCAGGAGGGATGGAGAATAGCCTGGAAATACATGTCCCACTGACTCCACCCAGTTAAAGTATTGTGAACGCCAGTCTGGGTGCTGTTTTTGCATCTCCCCCAGGGAAGGCTGCAAGCCAAGATTGAGAAGAGGGTAGTAGGAAATCTCAGTTACAAAGATAATTACAACCAAGAATTGCAACATGTATTTAGGAACAGATTTTACAAAAGATATGCAAGAACTCTACATTGAAAACCACAAAACACAGCGGACAGAAATTGAACAAGATCCAAAGAAATGGAGAGGTATATGATGGATGTGGGCTGGAAGACTCGATATCGTCAGATGTCAGTTCTCCCCAAAATGATCTCAAGATAACAACCCTAATCAAAAATCCAGCATGGGAAATTGACAAGCTGATTCTAAAATTTATGTGGAAGTGCACAGGAGCTGGAATACCCAAAATAATCTTGGGAAAGGAAGAAGAATGAGTTGGAGAACTTAAATTCCCTGACTTAAAAGTCTTGTACATCTATTACTATAGACTCTGTAATCAAGACTGGTACTGGCAAAAGAGTCAGCATATAGATCAATGGAACAAAATAGAGGGTCTAAAAATAAACCCATATTTACGTGTTTTTTATGTTCAACAAAGTTGACCTAGGAAGTCCAATGGGGAAATGAAGGTGTTTCCAACAAATGGCACATGACACCCTCTCATACCCTACACAAACATTAATTTGATATGAATCATAGATTTAAATGTAGAAACTAAAACCAGAAAACTTCTTGAAGAACACAGGAGAATATCTTTACAACATGGGGTAGGCAAAGGCTTCTGGGGTAGGACACAGATGGCAATAAGCCTTAAAATAGACCAAATCAAAATGAAAAACTTCTGCTCTTTCAAAGATATTAAGAATTGCCTAACATTTGAAGAGCCCCAAAATCAAGAAACAGAAGAACCTATACTTGAGGAAACTGAATAGGGCAATCAGAACAGGACTTTTAAATAAGAACCTAGGACAAATATCCTTAAAGGGTCAAGGAAGGTTATCAAATTTCTAAAATGGGAAATGAAAGGTACTCCTGAAAAAGTACCAGTGAAAGGCTTGACAGTGAAAAACATAATTGAAATTTATTTCAAAGATTTGTTAAATGGCAGGCTCTACACATGAGAAGGGGAAATCAGTGAGGCCCCATGTTGCCTGAACACAAGGAGTTGAAGGGATGGACAATGTAAAATAAAAATTGTGAGTCACAAAGAATAGATTCAGAAAAGCCAGTATTAGCATTAACCTGATAGGAGTTCCAGACAAGAGAAAGAGAATGGAAAAATGGAAATTTTTGAAAAAGTAAATAGCTAAAAAATTCCCAGAACTAAGAAGATATTTAAGATCTCATATTGAGAAAGTCTAATGAACACTAAGGAGAACAAATTACACACACTCTCATGCTCTTAATATATTTATGTGTATGTACTTGCATGTATATGTTTATGGGTGGACATGGCATATCTCAAGGCATGTCCTACTGTCCTGACATCAGGGATAAAGAGAAAATAAAAAATTTACTAACAGGGGGAAAAAAAGTATATACTTAGGAAGAAAGATTTGGGAGAAATATGCTAAGAAGTGATTGTTTTAGAGTTTTGACTTTGTATTTTTCTGCCCTTTAATTTGCATATTTTATATATTGAAATTGTATTGATGTTAAAATGGTAAGACAGGTATTAAGTTGTGCTAAGTGCCAAAGGAATGTGAAATAAGTTCAGGAAAGCAAAGAACACATGGCACTTAATTGTTCAAGACTGAGCTAGTTCCTAAGTAAGCTTGAAGCCTGGCATTCATGGTAATATCTGTTGTGCCCTGGGGTAAATCCCTTAGCATCTTTTAGCCCTGGCTTCCTTGTTTCTAAAATAGTCCACTTTTTAATAATAATCAGGTTGAAAGGCAAATCAGTGGTTCTCAACCAGGGCAGTTACACCACCCCTCCCTGTATGAGGTTTGGTTACTAACAACTGAACACGTGTGCATGCTGTTGACAGCTAGTGATTAGGGGCCAAGTATGCTGCTGAAGGTCCCAAGATGTGGAGGACAGGCCCCAACAAAAAATTATCTGGCCCAAAATGTCAATAATGCCAGGGTGGGGAAGCTTCACCTAGATATTCTTCAAAGTCCTCTACAATTTTTTAACAATAAAACAAAACCAAAAATTGCCACCATGCTAGCTTGTTAGTATATAAATATCAATTTATTACCTCACAACTACTGATCTTATGAAAGAAGGAAGTAGAGTTCATTTTCAGTGACTAACACCTAACTGGAAGTAAACATATATAGGGAAAATATTTTTATTTAAAAGTCAATATCAAAGAAAAGAGTATAAAACCCTCTGCTTAATATAGCACTGAGATTTGCTAAAACAAATGTTTGAGTATCCAAAAAGGAAGTCACCTGCCACTAGCTCTTTTACTGGATAAACTGAGGGGGACAGGAAGGAATAATGATTGATTTTACGGTTGAACACTGTAAGTCTGGGGGGAAAATATTTTCCTAGCCCAGGGCAAAATACCTTTGAAACCAAAATCAGTCAAAGGGAGAAATAAAGTGGGAGAAACCCATTTATTCCTTACAAGCAGTTGTCTACTTCTGCTCTCGCCTGTCCTCGTGACCTGGCAGCAAAAGGGGCCCCACCTAACCTTTCCAGTCCAGATATGCCCTAACTCCCCCTAATAATTACCTGTTGATATGGAGATGGACTACTCTCCACCCTTTGGAAACACCTATTGATACGAAAATGCAAAGAGCCATAGCGTAATGGAAATCCTAAGGCCAGGCAAGAGATTCTGGAAATACTGCAAATTTACCCACAGCCCACCCCTCCAGAAATCTTGCCTCACAATCTACTCGTTCCCCATCTTAGGCAGTGGACCCTGTGAAAGAAAACTGGAGCATTGTAACCAGACTGATAACATACAATAGCAACAGCAATAAAATCATGATAATCCTCAACCTGGAGGATTCAGCTAGGTTCAAAGTCCTATGCAGATGAAGTCCATAGCTTCCCCATTCCACAGGTGGTCAGTAGCTCAAGAGGCAGGGAGTTCAGAGCAATCATCACGCAGCAGCTGCAGCCAGGGGTCAAGTCCAGGCCACAGGAACTGTAGAAGAAAATAAACTTACAGGCGATAAAATACATGTTTTAATGATATAAGCATAGACAAATCTTGTCCATCAGGTAGGATGCATGCAAAACAGCGGTCCTGTGATAGGACAGTGGCAGGAATGGAATCTCATCCTGGTCTAGTATACCAGACTTTCACCCCACTCCCTGTGGGAGTTACAGATGGGTCAATACATAGGGCTACAGGAGGTACATACACTGGCTGTAAAGATGAAACAAAACTTACCCGTAAGATTCTCTTACCTCCCGGGTACACTACCATGATCTTTGGGGGCCACTCTGTTGTTACTCTAGGAACACACAAGAGGCAAGCTTCCAGGCCTCTTCCCCAAGATTCCAGAAGGGCCAGCCATCGCTGGTTCATGTGTCAAAAAGTCCAGGGCCACATCACTCAACAGAGTCTCCAGGGTTTAATGCCATTGGGGATGGGAACAGCATGTTGCTCTGCTGGCCATATCCTGGCTTCAATAACTCCTCTTTGGTTTGCACACACATTGTATAGGAGAGAGAGCAATGTGTGTTGGCATTTCCACAGGGGTTAAGGCTCCTTTTCGGGGCTTCTCATTCAAACGCCGTAACACTGTCCAGAAGTGTACAGCTCCATAGATTGTTGTTGTCCAACTTCAGGCCAGATTTCAACAAACCATTGCACCTCTCTATCATGCCTGACCCAGTAGGGTTATATGATACATGAAACTCCCACTTTATTCCTAATTGCTGCTCCCATTCTTGTAACACATGTCCAGTAAAGGGGTGCCTTGATTGCTCTCAGTCACCTGCAGCCAGCCATAGGTTGCAAAGAAACACTCTAGACCTCTCTTGGTGGTTTGCTGATCTGCATGACGCAGGACAAGCAACCAGTGGGCCAGTAGCTGTGTCCACACAAGTCATGGCATACTTATATCTTTCTGATATGGGCAGAGGCTCAATATAGTCTGTCTGCCGCCTGACAACGGGTAT